CCATCTTTGCTAATATTAATTCCAAAATTTAATCCACATTTGTAAGCTGATGATGCAATTATCTACTGCAGTCTCCACATCATGTGTCTGCGTGTAATTTCAATCTAACCACTTCTGACACCAGCAGTCGTATGTCTCGGTGACTATAGATGGGGTCTGGATTGTAGATTGGATTTATTGACCACTTTAACACACAACCCATGACTACATAACTACACTTAATTATAGCACCCCTGCTGATCACCATACTTTAGAAATAACAACAGCACATGCAAAGTCTTTTCAGTCTGCTGTCTTCACCAGTCATTCACTCGTAACAGCTTCTAACAGTCAAGATTCTTCAGCTTCCGCACTCACTTCGTTGTCCACTGGTTCTTAACTGCACCGGCTAAGTCTTCTCTTCACAGACTCCCTTACAAGTCTCTGAACTCTTGCTCCAATTGTCCTACTTATGACATTTCAGCACAGATCATGCAGAAAACACCATTCTTTGCTGTATACCAATCATTTCTGTGGGAACATGTTTCTTTATGAAGGCAGTACTCAGTAACAGCTGCATACGAAGGGGGACCCAAAAATAACCGGAACCGACCTGTTGCGCGCGCATGCTTTGTAGTTACGAGTTGTGCTGCTAGGTGGTGTTAGCTGGGGGTCTCCCGCGACTGTTAGTGAGCTGGTGTCAGTCTGAGTTAAGCAGTTTGTCTGTGGTGCTCTGCTGTGTGCATTCCTGTTTCAACCCTTTGGCGATTAGTGAGAATGGCATTGTCCACAAAGAGTTCGTTCCGCCAGGACAAACAGTGAACCAACATTTTTACCTGGATGTGTTAAGAAGATTACGAGAGAGTGTGCGATGAGAGAAGTCCGAAATGTGGAGAAATAGGAACTGGTTCCTTCACCACGACAATGCTCCAGCCCGTCTCATGTGCAAACCTTCGGTTAAAATTCGTTGGACCATGCTCCATGAGATGTTCGTTTCCTCAGAAAGTTGGTCAATGGTCTTTCGACGATCTTCATCAATTCTGGTCAGCCATCTCACTAATCGCCAAAGGGTTGAAACAGGAACGCACACAACAGAGCACCACAGACAAACCACTTAACTCAGACTGACGCCAGCTCACTAACAGTCGCGGGAGACCTCCAGCTAACACCACCTAGCAGCACAACTCGTAACTACAAAGCATGCGTGCGCAACAGGTCGGTTCCGGTTATTTTTGGGTTCCCCCTCGTATACTAGCTTATTAACCTTTAACGTACAGACTTTTATAACAAGTGTCACATGACTTTGAACAAGGCCAAGAGTAACCTTGAATGCACAGAAGAAAAATTTCAGACAAGGGGGTGGGTTGCGGGAATGCGGGCAATACATGGCCTTGTTCAAAGTTATGTGACACTATCTATAAATTGCCGGCAGCCCTCTGTGGCTGGTATTTAAATCACCCTAATCAATTAACACTGCAAACTTGCAGAAAAGAAATACATATTTTCCGTTCTATGCAACATAGAAATGAGAACTAAAAACAACCTGAAAGACAATAAAATTTTCTACATATACACAAAAGAGTAATTTTTAAAAAAGAATACTACCTGTGATTATTTTGTAATGAAACGCAAAATATAATCTTTATTATAGTATATGTTATGAAATCCCAAAGGACTTACCCGTTGTTTTTCTTCAACCTTGAATCATGGTGATATTGTAAATATTCATTCATCAGTAATCTGTCAGATGACAGATGACAGGTCCACAGTCTCTTTCAAAACAGTTCCTCCACTTAATGCAATCTTCTGCTTTTGGAAAGAGATATTTTGTTCAGACTGTACAAGAGTTTGAACTGTGTCACTTCACAGTTTACGTTACACTCTGACGCGCGTGGCACTTCTCGAAGCAGTCCACCTCACACAGAGCGACATCACCCTTTTTACAACAGAAAATGGTGCTCCTCCTTTTCTTATTTAGCGAAACTCACGACGTCTTTGTTTCCCTTTGGTTGGCCAGTGTTGTGAATGTTTCACCTCCACTCGACTCAGCTGGGCCCCAGATAACCTTGGCCTCACTCCGAGAAACGACACTGACCATGATATTCGCCTTGTGCGATTGAAGAATCATCTTGGGGGAGGGGGGTTTCTAGCAAACTCGAATAAATTGTTGATTGACAAAGCGACACTCTCACCTATTAGTAATACTTGCAAAATAATGATGCAAAGTAATTATAATACTAGTCGAAAAGAGTGCCAATCTGACACTGATACTGAAAGTCGCAGTGGCAAAGATGCCTTTTACTCACAAAGTAATACTAGCTCAGTGGGTTTATACCTCTTCCAAGACACATATATAAAAATGATATACAAAGAAATATATGACAGTCTGACACTGACTTTTTAACTGATAAATAAATATTAGACAATCCGAGGCTGACTTCCTGACTGATAATTCGTCACTGAAAACCAATCCTTGAATGCGTCACACTTCCTTGAAGGCTCTGGAAGCACTCATATGCAAGCACAGATGAATATTTCCTCATCAGTTCTCCAAACAAAGCTGGGTTATATTTGGCTGACCAGGTCATAAACAGCCATATCTACACATAAATAGTATCAAAACCAGTAGGTGATACATGATTTCACTGTTCAGAGCTAAGGAATGAACCAATGACATGACCTTACATAGGTTTGTTTTGGTTTCAAACCCAAGGTCAAACTGTCAGCACTCCCAAGGAGAGAACATTTCCTGCTGCATATATAATATATAACATTCAGCCAACTCGGAGTGCTGCTTCCTGCATATACAGGGTGGCGCAAAAAGGTGGGAACTTTTGAATGTGATGTTGGCAGCAGTGTGAGGGGAGAAGAAATGTGGGGAGGGTGGTAAGTTGTAGAGTAGCACTGGAGGTTTAGTAGCCATGGAACAGTTGAACGTTCAAGAACGCGTAGTAGCCGTGCGGGCTTATTATCGACACGGCGACAGTTTGGTTGAGGCCTTACGGGAGTTTAGGCGGCATTTCAACCTTGCCCCTCGTGCCCATGCTCCATCTAAACATGCAATTCGAACGTGGGTTCAAAATTTCGAAGAGACTGGTTCAGTGGGAAAGAGAAAGTCTTCTGGTCGTCCAGGAAGTGCTTGGACTCCGGACAATGTCGAAGCCGTGCAAGCCTCCGTCTTGAGAAGTCCACATCGCTCAGTACGGAAAGTCGCAGCGGCAGTGACTGTAAGTCGTCGGTCTGTCCAGAGAATACTCCATGAACTCAAGTTTCATCCCTATAAACTGCAACTGGTGCAAGAACTGAAACCTAATGACCATTTGTTGCGCCGACAGTTTTGTGAAGCAATAATGAACAAAACTGACGAGAATCCTGATTTCATTGAAAATCTGTGGATGTCAGACGAAGCTCATTTTCATTTAAACGGGTATGTGAACAAGCAGAACTGTCGGTACTGGGCACAAGAAAATCCTGCTGTTCTTCATCAACGACCTCTACACAGCCCCAAGGTCACTGTATGGTGTGCAGTTTCGGCTCGAAGGGTGATAGGACCATATTTTTTTGAAGACATCGCAAGAAACACGGTGACAGTAACTTCTGAGCGTTATGTAACCATGCTTGAGACGTTTCTTGCTGCAAGAATTCACAGTGTACCGAACATTGATATCGAAAACACTTGGTTTCAACAGGACGGGGCGACCGCACACACCGCACGAGTGTCAATGGCAGCGGTCAGGCGTCTGTTCCCCAGACTTATCAGTGTGTGATTTTTATTTATGGGGTTACTTGAAGAGCGTGGTCTACAATACACGCCCCACAACCCTAGCCGAACTTAGAAGACGAATAACAGAAGAGATCGCAGCAATACAACCCGACACTTTGCTCTGAGCCATGCGCAATTTTCAGGATTGACTTGCAGAGTGTATTCGGCAAGATGGACATCATTTTCGCGATGTTATTTTCAAACTGTGAGTTATTTTTAAATTTCCAATGTAGAAGTGCACATTGAGTACCTTGATTAAATTTCAAAAAAAAAAATTGTATTTTTTTCTCTATTTTCAAAAGTTCCCACCTTTTTGCGCCATCCTGTATATAACATTCGGCCGTTAAAGGTTAAGAATCTGCTACAAGCAACAGATTTTGTTCCATTATTTGTTTCGAGGTCATTACCCAGTAATGGGTCTACACACTACAATATAATTTTCATTTCCTTGATTTCATACTTATTTTAGGCCATTCCTTAGAGTGTAAAATCGAGGTTTAACTGTAATGGGAAATTTACTCATCATCATCATCATCATCATCATCATCAGTAATCTGTCAGACGACAGGTCCACAGTCTCTTCCAAAACAATTCCTCCACTTGATGCGATCTAGAGCTTTCTCCTTCAAATGACAGTATCCTTTTCAGTCATCAAAGTCATCCAGCATCTATTTACTATATGTGCATATTCTTTGCACAATTTTCAGACCCAAATATTTGGTTCAAAAGCATATAAAAAAGGTAAAGCTATCCCTGTAAGAGGCTGTGAAGGCCCACAGCTGTGAGATGTTGAGGCTTCCGAATTGGCTCACAGATGGCGATGAGGATGTCAGCCTCATGTGCTGGCCATCCTTGACCCCCAAGAAGATTCCTGGTACTCATTTCTGTTAGAGGCTGAGTTAATCCCATGGCCACAGTGTGGCTGGAAGAATTAAGTTGACTGAAAAATCCATTACCTCATCAAGAATCGAATCCACAACCTTCCACCTTGTAGCATAGTGCCTCAACCAACTACAAATACACTAATGTCAGCAAGACAAGAGCTATCCTGAGTTAGATTCTTCTGTAATTTTTCTGGCTTTGAAGGCGAAAACAAAGATAACATCCTAAAGAGGTTACAACTACTTTTTCCTCATTCATATTCACCAAGTATGATCTTCATCTCACATCAATTGATACTAAATAACCTCTGCAGTTAATACAGCATTGTTATGGTACTTACGGTACATGAATGTGCTACAAGCTTCTCTGCACTTACCACAAGTGGAACTTGAAGCAATGAGGACAATTCATTTTGGTCCTGAATGGACGTATGTGGGTGCACAAGCCCACCCTGGTTTGAGAGGACACAATATGAACCAACCAGAACATTTGATGCAACTGTCTGGCGGTACACTTCAACCTTGAGAACATCAGCCAGGATTTCCTCAGTCTCCTGCATAGATGGACAAACAGTCATGTAGAACCAGAGTAAATGATCCTAAAAATTTGGTCACATATGCCATAGCATTCTGAATATTAAAGCAAATTGAATAAATTGTGAAGAATAGAACAGAAGAATGTGAAGAGTGGTCTTTCTCTCCAAGAAAAACATAAATCATGATTGCTTAAAAAAAGTGCTCAGTATTTACAACTAAAAGGAATGATATAACTGGACCATTTAGGACATTACATAATAAAGGACTTTGCGATATAACAAATCTTCTTGGATTGTTCGGCTAGGTACTCAGTGAAGTGATAATATAAGTGACAGTGATGACAGGTGTAATATTGATCTGACTTTGAAGTACTGTGGTGATGCCCAGTCAGTCAAATGTGTGTGTCTATCCCAAGAAGAAGCATTAGTCATTCTGCATTAGCTGAAATGAATTAACAGTCAGCAAAAGTGTGAACACTGGTATAGAGAACATCCTTAATGGCAAGTTAACATGTGAACATAGTGCTTTATCTGATTAAATAGCAGTAATTGCTGTATATACATAACATTCTGTAAATAATATAATATAACACCTTCAGCTGAAAGTCTGTGGTGATTGTTGCTCATGCATTTTTCTTCACAATTTTATTGCTGTATTCAGCAGAATTAAAATCAAAGCACTCTCTATACTTCTTTCATGACTTACTTGAAATAACCCCTTGTAGCAGAGTGATCTGTGAGAAGCTAACAGTTGCTCAGCAATTCAAGAAATTCCCTGTCTTTTAAGGAATTCATTCATTACCATTTTCACAAAAGCCAGATTAACCTAGTCCTTCCATCCTAATCCTGTAAAATTCATTTTTGTATTATTCAGCATCTACACTTAGGTCTTCCACGTGCTCTCTTCCCTTCTAATATTCCAACTAAAATTTTGCATGCCTTTCACATCTACAATGCGTGCAACATGCCATGCCCATCTCATCCATGTTGATTTAACCATGCTAAGAACAACTGGTTACCAGAAAGAAAAACAAACTTTATTTGAAGCTAGTAAGGATGTTGGTCTAGAAATAAACACAGAGAAAACTAAGTATACATTGCTGTCTCACCAGCAAAATGCAGGGCAAATGTGAAAATGTGGCACAGTTCAGACATCTGGGAAAGACGATAACAAATCAAAAGATGATTCAGGAGGAAATTAACACTTTGCGGACTGAACGCCTAGGCCTAGGCGTTTGGGTTTTAAATGTGGCAGACCGGTCGCCTAGATTTTGGCTTTTGGACACGTTATGTTACAACACACTATTCCTCGCTTTGGTGGCCACGTGCCTGTAAAAGTACTGCGTAGCTGACCTTCGGAATGTTTGTTTCCCGAGTCAGCAACATCACCACTCTCTATTCCCCTCTCACTCTAAAGAAAAGTCCCTTTGTTCAAGTCGAAGCTTCTATGTGTGAGGCAAGATATTCTCAGTGTCAACATGGCTCAGAGACGAAAGCAGTTGAAGGCCGCGCGAGCTCTCGGAGAAGAAGAAATCTGTGATTTGATCTATGATGAGTTATCTGACTTGCCAACTGCTTCGTCTTATGATAGCGAGGGCAGTGTCAGTGGCAGTGACAGGGGCCCCCAAAAATATTGTGACCAGAAGAGAAAGTGAAAGTGACAGTGAGAGCTCCGATGAAAGTGCGAGTGCTAGCATTGCGGGGACAGCCACATGGGGTAAAGTGGACCAAACACCCACTTTGGGAAAGTTTACTGGTGATCCAGGGGTGAGACAAATGCCATCGGACCCTAGGCAAGTGTCTGAAGTAGCTAAACTGTTTTTTGGAGATAGCTTCTTTGACATGTTGTATCAGGAGACGAACAGATACTATTTCCAACACCATGAGGCATACGACAGTACCTATAAGGTGTTGAAGTGGGTGGGTGTCACTTCAGCAGAAATGNTGTGTGCGCTGTGCACAAGAAGCAAAGCAAGACTTCCTACGTCTGCAAGTTCTGCGTCATGCCTCTTCACAGAGGGGAATGTTTCCAGAAATATCACACTCTGAAGCACTTCTAGGAGCTCTGGTAAGTCTTCTCCAAAAATTTTAGTTCATAAAATTAATTAGGAGATTTTATATTAATTTTTAAAGTGAACAGTGCACAAGTTAGGGTAGTAGGTTTAAAAACGCCGGTCCCCAGGGCGATTTAAATATTTAAATCACCAGTCCACGAAGTGTTAAGAGGAGACTGCATTCGGGTAATGCTTGCTACCATTCAGTTCAGAACCTTTTGTCTACTCATCTGCTGTCCAAAAACATAAAAATTAGAATATACAAAACTATAATTTTGCCTGTGGTTCTGTATGGGTGCGAAACTTTGTCTCTGAAATTAAGGAACACAGACGGAGGGTGTTTGAGAACAGGGTGCTGAGGAGAATATTTGGACTGAAGAGAGATGAAGTGACAGGAGGTTAGAGAAAAATAATGAGGAGCATTATAACTTGTACTCTTCTCCAAGTATGAGGATGAGGTGAGCAGTGCATGTAGCATAAATGGGGGCAAAGAGGAACGCATATAGGATATAGGTGGGAAAGCCAGATGGGAAGAGACCACTGGGAAGACCAAGGCATAGGTGGGTGGACAATATTAAAATGGAACTTAGATAGGATGGGATGGTATGAATTGGACTGAACTGGCTCAGGACAGGGACCAGTGGAGGGCTCTTGTGAACATGGTAATGAACCTTTGGGTTCCATAAAATGCTGGGAATTTCTTGGGTAGCAGCACAATTGGAGGCTTCTCAAGAAGGGTTCAGCTCCATGAGTGAACATTTGGTTCTGAGCAGAACTTATGGAATTCCTCATTAAGCAGCACTGTCCAGCTGCGTGCCACTTGCTACCTCTACAATTCATATATGCTCCTCAGCACCGTGCTCCCAGACACCATCAATCTATGTACTTCCACTGTGGGAGAGACCAAGTTTAATAATACAAAAAAACAGGTAACATTACAGTTTTGTTTTAATTACAGACAGCAAATGGGAGACAAAAGTTGCTGAACTGAATACAAGCAAGCACTGGCCTAATTTAATCTGCTCTTACTTACTGCATGAATACAAATTTAATTTGTTACAATCATTCTAAACTTTGCCACACTTCTTAAATTTATTAGCTATCTATAGTTTATGATCTTATACTACCATCTGATGATGAATCATTAACATATTGTCACATGTCACAGTGACTAATGATGGGGTTCGCATTGGTAACTGGATTTATTGACCACCTACAGGCCACAACAACAAATAATTATAACACTGTCACTGATTTTCACACTACAAAAAACTCCACACTAATCTCTTCAGTCTATCTACACTAGTCTTCATGAATTTATAACACAGAAGTATAAAAGTCTCACTAAATCACACATTCCCAATATCACTGTGTTATAGCACACATTAAGTCTTCAAATCACATATTAAATCTTCACAGGCTGACTTCTTGTACTCTTCTGTACTCCTTGAGCTTACTGTATGCGTACTTCTGTCACTAGTACTACTCCTAACTGTCTTGAATGCATTCTGCCACTCTTACCCATGTACCCGCGGAACAGACATGGGCTTACAGTAAACACATATCACATGATTGCTATCCAACCAGTCTACTGGTGCATCACTTGGATCTACAAAAAACACAGCTTCTCCTCTATCATTGTGTTGGACCGTATTTACAGAGCTGTTGCCTGGCAAGACGTTGATCAAATCCGTTACAATACATACACTGAAGTGCCAAGTCATGGGATAGGTACTTAGTACTGTGTAGGACACCCTCTAGCCCAGTGAAGTGCAGCAACTCAACATGGCATCGATTCCACAAGTGGACAGAAGACCTCTGGAGAGATGTTGAGCCATGCTGTCTGGATAGCCACCCACAGCTTCCTGGTATTTGACAGTGCAGGATTTTGGGTGTGAATGGACCTCTCCACCACATCCCATAAATGCTCGATTGGGTTCATGTTGGGTGACCGTGGTGGCCACACCATTCGTTGGAACTCTCCAGAATGCTCCTCAAACCAATTCTGGACAACTCCGGCCCGATGACATGGTGCATTGTCCTGCTGGAATATCCCATCATTGTGGGTGTATATGAAGTCCATGAAGGGCTGCAAATGTTCACCAAGCAGTGTAACGTAGCAGTCACCGGTCAATGACGTGTTTAGGTGGACGAGCAGATCCAACTCATGCCACGTGAACACACCTCACACCACTACGGAACCACCACCAGCCTGCACGGTGCCTTGTTGACAAGTGGGGCCCATGGCCTCAAGGGGTCTATGCCACACCCGAACCCTACCACCCACCCAAAACAACTGGTACCATGACTCGTCGGACCACACCACATTGCCAATCCTCCAGGGTCCAATTAGCAACGTCACAAGCCCACATGAGGCGCTGTGTCTGGTGTTAACAGAGGCACTCTGGTCAGTCTTATGCTCCCATATCCCATGGAAGCTAAAGAACGCTGCACTGACCTGCTGGATATGCGTCTGGTACCTCCTGCACTGAACGTGGATGTGATCTCAGCCAGTGACACTTGTCTGTTACCAAGGACAATTCTACCTAGACGCCACTGGTCAGGATCATTAAGCACCCATGGTCGGCCACTGCGCTGTCCACGGTGGGTGGAAATGGCTTCCACAAAGTAATCCCAGTACATACGTGACACCGTGGATCAAGGAATGTTGAATGGCCACACAACTTCGCAAATGGAATGTCCCATCCACCTGGCACCCACTATCATGGCCTGTTCAAACTCCGATAATTCACGTCGGCTTGCCATGAGCAGACTGACCGGTATTCAACCTGACTCATGAGAGAACACCTCACAACTGATACTGCTCTGGACATTCCCAAGCCATCAAGGGACAGTGGCTCAACTTAAAAATAAATTTACGTACCGCTATCCCATGACTTTTGGCACTTGAGTGTATATTTTTCTGTGTTAACTTCCAGACCATATTTCTTCATATTATTGTTT